GGCGGGGGCGGGAAGGAGGGTGGAGAGCCCGGCCGGGCAGGGATGCCCCACCGGCCGTGGGCAGGGCTGCGGATCCCCTGCCGGAGGGGAAGGAGAGCAGCGGTCCTTCCTGTCGCGGGCTGGAGGCGGCGGTGAGGGCGCTTCGCAGGGGCGTGGGGCAGAGGGCAGCTTTGGGCCGTGTCTTGGGCAGCCTCCCCGGCGGCGGAGTCTGGGCTTCCCTCGCTGAAGTCTGTAGCCCGCGTCCTTCCTATTCGAGACCCTGCGGTTGCTGCTTGCTGGGATCCAGCCCGGGGCCGGGCGGTTGGGTGCCTCCGGGCTGTGGAGCCCCGCTGCTACCGTGAGGGGAGAAGTTGGTTGGCCTGGGAACCACTGGTAGTACCCTGATATAACGGTCCAGCTGCACAGAGGAGTTGTTCAATCCACGTAACGCTGCTTGCTGCCTGTGGGGTGTTGTGCTGAGGAGCTCTGGGTTGGATCATATCCTTGGCTTTAGGCAGAAACTTTGGTGTCCTTATGAAGTCAAGGAGGAGCCACGTGTTCAAATGGTAATATCAGTGCCCGGGCTTGGCTTGTTTTTAGGTCACGTCTGTTTGCCCACATTACAGAGAAGGATGAGAATGCTTCTTCTTTCTGTAAACTGCCTTCACAGCTTCAGAAGGACAAGTGCCTGTAGTTGGGATTTTGCTATTCATCAGCAGCATGACTGTGACTGAAATAATAGTTGGTGTCAAGTAGGGAAGGATTTCAGCTGGACCAAAGACATTAGAGCGAGATTATATGGAAATACGATGCCCACGTGGAGCAAAATTTTGTCTTCTGCATCTAATTATTATTTTTCTTACCTTTTCTAAATTTCCGCTCTGTATAGCGTACTATATTGTAAGTGACTATCCAAGGCAGTGACTAGAGTCGTCTGGCATAGACAGTTTTTATTGCAGTTTTTTTGTTGTTGTAAGTTGAGGTTTTCTCAGGTTTAAAAATCCCTTATTTTAGTGTAACTAAATGCTAATTGAATTGGGATTCTTAAAAGAAGCCGTTAACAAACTGGCATGGTTTTCTTATGATGCTGGGCAGAGAGCTTGGTTGTTGCTATTTCATAAAATTGTTACCATATTCTATTCAGAGTTTAAATACCTAGAGTTTGACTTGCACAGGGAAAAGATAAGCGAGCCATTAGTTCTCTGAGTTACGTTAGCTGTAGCTTTTCTCTCATTCTGCAGCTATGGCAAAGTAAAACATTAAGGAACAAAACAAGGCATCCCAGGTGGTCTTCTAATTGTTGAAGCAATTAAAGTACAGCAACCTGATAACACTAATAAGGTTGTTTGTATGAATAGATTGCTTGTTAGTATGTGCATTTATTCAGGTTTTTCTTAATGTTGAAGTGCTGAATACATTTCTCTTTCCAGATTTCATAAGGAGAAATTGATGCAGGTTGGATGTTGACCTTTTCTTCTGAAAGGTTGTTTTCTCTTGGAGAAGATAAGTTAGAAGTTTTAACATCTCCAGTACAGCTCTGATATCTGTACAAGAACTAAACTAGGTTTGGCAATACATGGAAATACTTTGATAAGCATGTTGGAAATACAGAAGAAATAGCAACTGTTCAATGTCAGATGACTTCTTGATCACAAATTATAGTAGGCTAATGCTTTTAGAGTTTATCGTAGAGTTCAAAGTAATTAACAGATTAAAAGAAAGCTTGATACTTGGCCATTGTAATAAAAATTGTCATAACTTACAGTACAGTTTGGCTCTATATTTGTGGATTAAGTTAACTAGTACAGTTCAATTAAAAAAAGGCAAAATACCAATTGTGCGAATAGCAAAGCAGGTCTTACAATACGTAATTTTAACCGTGTAATACACTGTTCTTGTTTTGATGTCTCCAGTTTGAAAAAGAATTCACTGGAAGATCCAGGTGTCAACAAAAATGAAACAATTTTCTGCATGTTCTTAGAGTGTTCCATCATTATGCAAGTGAGAGCACTGAAGACTACACCTGGACTAATAAAAAAAAAAACCTAACTGGGGTACTTGAAGCCTGTGTTGCTGTTGTATTAGTGTGCTATGAACTGACTCCGCTGATATGCAGTGTTGGTGTTTCATATGTGCTGTCAAACCATTTCATAAATTGTGGTTTGGTACAGATATAGCGTAGTTTAATTTTAGAGCATGCCTTCCAAGGAAACATTGATTTTGCTATTTTATGTATACAGGGAGCTAACTGTTCCAGTTTTGAAAAAGTTGTGAGAAAGTAATGGAGAATTTTTTTGTTTGCTTGTTCTTGTTACTCGAAATTAATTTTTCTCTTAATAATTTCTTAGACCAGTTCTGGTTTTGGGGGAGGGTTTATTTCTGAAACTTCCTAATGTTCTAAGTAAACTGTACTGCGTTTTGAAAGATGTTCTTAGAATCGAGATTTTTATCAGAGGCATCTGGCAAAGGTGTGACCTCCATTAGTTTGCCATCTTAGTTGAATAAAAAGACTGCAGCTTTTTATTTTTCCATAGGGATTTGATACTGAGTGCAATTACTGCATGTTTGTTTGGAACAGTTTCCCCTAAAAAAGCATTTTCAGTTTTGCATAGATGGTAAAAATATTTTTGTAAGCAGTGGATAGCTTCATGAGGTGGTCATCAAAATAGTTTCCTATCCTTTATCTTCTGAGTCCAAAGAAAATTTCTTGGATCTTTCCTACTGCTTTCAGCTTAATAAATTATTGCTCTTCATGTAAGGTTTATCCTGTTTATACAGTTCAATAATATTTGAGCAAAATGCTCAGAGTTATCTTTTTGCCTTTTTATACTATAATGAAATGTACTGCTCTTTATTTTCTGCTATGGTATTACTTGTAAAGACAGCAAAAATAATTTCTGCCTATGTGTGACCAATAAGAAAATTTGAAATTTTTCATGAAATCACTATAGATTAAAATGCATGGGGATTTTACTTCTGTAAGTATAATAGTATAATAATAACAAGTTTTGTCTTCTGACTTTGAAGTTGGCAGTCATGTGGGCTGTGAGCTTTCTCGGCTTTGTGAAATACCTGTAATTGCACATACGTTCTTTCATAGCTCTTTGCCCAGGTTTGAAGTTAGATAACATTAACAAGGCAAGCATAACAGCATGGAAGACCTTAGATAAAGCAACTTCCCTTCCCTTAAATGAGTTTTACTTCATTACCGTATCTACTCTGCAGAATTGTGACTGCGTATTTAGTGCCTCAGGAAAAGTAGGATCTACACAAGGTGAATTTTCTACTTAAATGCTTTATTGCCGTACCCTCACCTCTTTATTCTCACAGGGGGTTGGGGGAAATCCATTTTCCAGGCCTCCTTTATGCTTCATAAAAGAGCAGAAGCCTACAGTTTGGTTTCTAGTGACTCTTTTACATCAAGCTTGGTTATATAAGGGTATCTGTTCTGTAAAGTAGTGGAGTGATTTATCGTGCATAAAACAGATTAGATGATTTCATAATCTCATCTATGTGAAATCTGTGGAGGGGAAAAAAAAGCCACAAAATGTTTTTTGTCTCTTTTTGCACATAACCTTTTAATAGTCAGAAGTTCTGCTAAGCCCATGCAAGATATAAGATGTGTGGGCTTTCCTATTTTATATGCTTTGTAGGCCGTCATGTATGTTGATCAATTTCCTGTCTAGCTGAAGATTAGTACTAGTTAACAGCAATGTTTGGTTCCATTCCCTTAGATATGGTCTAAAGCCTTCAAACTTATATTTGAAAGGCCTTTCAGACATGTTTGTAGTAGTTAGTTTAGATTTAATGATATTTATCATACAAAAGTTTAGAACCACGCTTTCAGTGTTTGTGCCTTTCACTAAGACACTGTCAGGGTCTCAGCAGAAGTGTTGCTGTAGCTGAGTCGACTAAGTTAGTTGGGCCTGTCCTCTCTACTACTTGCACAGTCCTGCCTTCCTCTCCTCTGCTGGCAGTAGCGCTTCTGCACTTGTGTGCGCTCCTTTTCGTAGAGGTGGTCTTAAGCTAGTGCAGTACCTTCAACCAGCTCGCTGTCCTGGCACAAGAAGGATAGGACCTGGAAAGTTCAGACTTAGTTTCACAATAGATTTACAGCCTTACAACATGGGTGCCTGCACCTGGTTTTCCTAGTATTTATTTGTAGAATTTAACTGTGAAGTTACTGACTTCTTGGACACAAAAGTACGTATTCACCTTTCTCCCATGCCTCTAAAGAAACTAGCTGGAGTGTTCTTATGCTTTGAGAAGAATTATAGAAATGAGATGACAATGCATGATTGTGGTTTTTTTGTAGGCAATTCAACTAATGAGCATTTGGTAGGAGAATACTTGGTATGCAACTCTGATATGCTAGTATACTATGTGTTTGTAGTTTGGAAAAATCTTGCTGCTCATTCTGCAGAAAGTTATATATGCTGAATCTGTCAACAAATTTCAGGGCTGAAAGTGTTGATCCGGCTAACATTGATTCAGCATTGCATTTGGAGGTGGACTTAAGCTCAAAAAAAGTGCTAAGATCTGTTATTTTCTAAATCTGAGTGTGTAAGGTATGTTGTAGAGTATTTTAATGATGAGAACTATATTATTTGCTGTGGAACTGCATTTCACTAGTATTTCTTTTGACTGCCATCCTTTTCTCTTTAGAGGATTTTTCTGTAGTTATTATTGCATTTCTTGATTAAAAATAAATTTTTATGTGTTTTTTAATAGCTCACAGGAGTCCTAGATGATTGTTTATGTGACATAGAAAGCATCGATGACTTCAATACTTTCAAGATCTTCCCCAAAATACAGAAACTACAAGAACGTGATTACTTCAGATATTACAAGGTACAATGAGAATGGTATTTTCCTGAATAATTTAAATAAAATCCAGAAAATATAAGGAGGATTACGTATCAAATCAACTTGTCTATATTAAGTTGTCTTTTAGAAGCCCACAGCTCTTTAATTTGGTTGTAGCAGGTTTTCAGTCCCTGACAGTTATGTTGGTAATAAGTCATGTTTTCTGTGTTAATCCTGGAGTCAGTGACAGTAAATCATGACTGCTTTCATTCAACTGATAAGTGGTAATTTTAAAGGTCGTATCTGCTGCATCTAGAAAAGGATTGTATATTAGCAACTCTCTGACAGCATGCAGTACTTGTCTTCTAAGAAATGTGCGTATTTTGAAATGGAAATATTGCCATGATTTCCTTTTTTTATAAGTTGCTGTCTTAGTTCTGATTTTAGTGTTTGCTACCTAGAGAACCATTATTCCTTTGAAAAACAGGTAAAACTATTCAATTTTCAAGTAGTGTGTAATATCACTTTTTTATGACTTTAAACATTTTTTTTTCTCTGTATTAGAATCTGATGAGCAAAATAAGACTTTGAAGCCTAATACTCCTGTTTTCAGATATGCTTAACTTGAAAATAAGGTTGCATTTTGACTGAGCTAATCAGATGGTTACCTGCCACTGGAAAAAGGAGGTTACGCTCCTTGAGGGCAGACCGCCCTGCCCCTTCCCTACTTTTAGCTCTTGGGCTTATCTAACTGTGCATTAGGCCAGTGCATCTCTTTAACCTGGAAGATTTTTAGTTTGGATGTTTGGGTTTGGTTGCCCCCCCTCCCCCCCCCAGGATGTAGCAAGTTATCTGGCTGATCTGGAATCAGACAATTATTAAACTCATGCAAGATGGAGTTATGAATGTGAGGAAGGAGAAAAAAGTGCTAGAATCTTCCCTTTCTAGTCTGAGCAAGCAGTAATGCGTAACTTCACCCTGAATCTCCTCCTGCTACGTGATACAGTTCTAACTTCACTTTTCAGGAGAAACACGATCTGTGCAACTTCAGTGATAATACATCACATAGTAGTGGTAATTAGGTTCTCCAGAGGCAACAGACAGATACAAAACAAAGTAATTGAAGAAGAGGAGCAACAGGTATACAAGGTTGTATACAACAGTAATTTCATCCTGCAAATTTAGAACTAATCTTCATTTCAAGAGCACTTCTGCAGGTCATACTTTAATGATGTATTGCAATCCTACCTCATCTTTCATACTGATCTTCCTAATAGATGGGCAATTATAAGGGCCAGTGTGCAGTCCACCCATCACCACACATTATTTAGTGCTTCCAGCTGTGACAGGGAAGAATTTGTGTTGAACAAGCAAACCGAATAAGTAAGTCAGAATGTTTTTCACCCTTTCTTCTCTGAATAAGCAACAGAGTTTTTTGATGTCCCTGCACAGAATCACGGAAGTGCTATTAAGCACATAGATGGATGTGGAAATTGTGATTTGAAGGGTAGGCAATGATCATCTAGGTCAACTACAGTGTAGCTAAATACTGAATAAGCATAGGGGGAGTATACTTGTTCTGGGAGTGAAAACACTCCTACTCGGACATAATTTAATTTGTAATAGGAATTTGGATCATCAACTTTTGTAACTACAGTCACAGTATTCCCATTGTGTTACTGGTTCAACAGCCATAAAAGAACTCAAACTTTAATGTATAATACTGAGTGGACTAGCTAGTTTTTATTTCAAGGCTGAAGAAAACATTGTTTTTAAAGTCTTGCTGAAATTATGCTAGGTGGTTTCTAGGTAGATAGTGGAACGCTTCTCAATGAAAGAAATAAAGGAATAAAAAATTTTTATAGTTTATACATCAAAACACACAAACTATGGGAGCCTCATGATAAGGAATCTTTTAATCTGTGACAAGTATTGAATAATACTCTAAACGATAGTAATGAAATCTAATACTTCAGACCCTGAAGAAAGTAGAAGGATGTTCTATGTAGTCAGTGCATGATTAGTGTTGATTGAAGTACAAGTGCTGTACAACCTCAGTTTGTCTCAGAAGTGTGTGTGCTGGTTTTTAGTGCTCTTGAATCATTCAGGACTAATATATCTTGATTTGCAGATGTTCTTTCTGAATCAATCTGCAGTTTAGACAGCAGTATTCTTTTATTTACAGTGTTTCTCTGTGTAAGAACAACAGCTGCCTAGTTACTTGTATCTTCCAAAGTGTGTTAGCATTTTTTATTGTTAGAGTTTACTTTGAAGAAGGTTGTAGACTAACTATGTTAGCTGGTCTTTTTTTTGGTAGAAATTGGTGGGAAGGGCATTTTTTTATATAATAGGTCTTATTGTGAAGGTGATGTAAAATGTAACACTTTTTTGTGCTTTATTTAAAAAAAGATGGGGGAACAAGTACATAAAATTCTAAAATTTTACATATTTTGTTTCTAGGGATGGTGTTTGTGGATTGAATAGAGGAAATGGGGGGGGAGCAATCTAAAATCTCTGCTTTTAATGTATCTGTGCTAGCATGGCTTGAACTGTAACTAGAAGATAGTTGTCATCACTCTTAAGAAGTCATACCATCTGCTTAATGTCTTGTTAGGTTTTTTTGACTGAGGAATCTCTTTAACATTTTAAAGCTGAATTTATAATTCCCAGTCATGCTGAATAAGTACATCAAAATGGAAACATGGAAAACAGTCTTTCCTTCAGATGTTATATAGCGTTAACTTTGTATGCGTGTTTTGAAAATACAGGAAGGACTTACTTGCTGAAAGGTTTGGTAGAGGAATTTAGTATAATAAAGGGCAGTTGAGCAAGTCAAACATTTTTTCTTCTTTGGGGATCTTTTGTGGTATTGACAACATTTGAAGAGGGAATTTTGATTGATTTGCTTTAAGTATGTAGTGCCACAGAACAATTTATCTTTCAAGCATTAAAAGTTGTTTATTTCTGGTACATAGTTTTGATTTTTCTTAGCTGTCAAAATTAAGAGAATAGACTGGAGGGAGGGTAAAATCTGGCTATAATTCATCTTGGATTCTTCATATTGTGCCTGCTTTGTATCAGAGGCATATTGATCTATGCTTAGTATATTATGTATAATGCTGGGAAAAAAACCCTGAATTTGATTAATTGTTTTTATTGCTGAGGCTCTGGTTTGACAATTCAGTGAACATAGCCATTGGGCTTCTATTACTGTATTCCCCCCAAAACCAAGCCACTTAAAGCAAATCACTGATCCAGTATAAATGCACCCTGCCAGTGAAAGGTGTTCAAAGCATAAAGGTTTTTTTTAATTGAATAATTGTTCAAGACAGCTCAGTGATTTCAGTTTTTCTCCAAATTAAAAGATTGCGTAGTGTGTTTCTTTTATCGTAGCAGGAACCCTTCAGGTACCAACATTCAGTTGCCAATTCTTTGCCTAAGGGGCTGCTCTGGCATTGCTGTACTGGATGTTTAACCTTTGTTTCCTGTGTATGTTTCTCCTTATGTAAAGTGAAAGTATAGGATATACATTACATTAATTAGAAAAATGTTCCTACAGGTAAAGGGAAAACACATTTTTCTGAAGACTAAATTGATGAAGTGTTTTGTCTCAATCTTTTAACCTAGTAGGTATAGCAAGAATACTGTTATTTATAGTGTGTGACTATTAATTTACTGTACAGCTTGTATGTATTTTTTTCCATAAGCTAGCATAAGGATTAGTTTTCTGACTTAAGATTTATGGATGTAAGTAATTTTTATAAGCACATTTATATTTCTTAAATATTTGTGTTGAAACTGCTCTAGGGCCTGATGCCATCCTTGGAGTATTCGGCTTAATTTTATAATGCGTTTTATAGAACTCTTGCTGTGTCCAACTACAGAATCAAATTCAATGTCTTCAACAGTTTCAAATAAGAAGTGATACATCAAGTCATTCAAGATGTAGTTTGTTGGATATAAGTAGTGACTTCAGTTGAATATCTTCATGAATAGTATTTATCAACTGAAGAAAACTAGTACAAGCTGCACTAAAGGAAAATAAAGTAAAGGAATAGAAGTAATTTTTGTTTTGTGTGGGTTTTTTTTACTTTGAAAGTTTTAAAACTGACCTTTTATCTGGAAAATAGTGGTTGCTACTGAGGATAATGCTTTGTATTTTATTTGTAATGTTAGATTTCAAAGATGGTGTACTTTTGCAGTGTTTCTGGTTGATCATGCAGGAGAGCCTTTAGTCTGTAGTCTCTAGTTTAGGAGTGATGAGGTCAAAGTGGTTTTTATCACTAATGTTTGTTAGTATGTATATGGCTAATGTAAAGGAAAGCTGGGATTTTTTTTTTTCTTCACTGACTTCCACATTGCTAATCCAAGTGTAGTAAAGTGTTTGAATCTCTTGCCATGTAGCATATACTAATATACGTGGTACTCCCTGCCTTTATTGTGCCATTTGATGACAAATAGGAGCACTAATCATCACAGGATTGGCTGGTAATGTTTCTGAAGTGGTTTCTCTTCATTATTTATATTTGTAGTATATCAGCTCTCTAATTTGAGGCCATTATGATACTCATTCTTCCTTGACTAGCTACAATGTGTAGTAATGATTGCCTCTTTTTATGCCTTGAAATCTGAAATCATCCAAGCACTTATTTGAATTAGTAAACTTGTGCACTTGTCTGTCCTCCATCAAATGTATTTTCTTGATCACTATAGTACAAGTACAATTGATTGTAAGTGCACTCATTTTAGAGCTGCATATGTCTGATTTGCCTTCTTTTTAGTAGTTCATGTACTGCTTTAAAGTTATGTTAGTGGTGGGAGATTTAGTTTGTGCTTTAATATGCTATGTCTTTGTGTCCACTGGAGACCATTATCACTAACAATTCCACTGCAGCAAGCTTCAGCTTATATACTCAGAGGGAGAGTAGTTAAAAGAAACCAACTGACGGACCAAACCCCCACAAAACTTAAAGTACTAAATTTAACCCTTTTTCCTTGTATCCTCTTCTTTAATTTGGAAGGATTTCCTGATACTGAGAGCTCTTTCATTTAAAGTTGCCTTATGTAAGTGTCGATTGTAAACTTGGTTTTTGTATATTTAGGTCAACCTGAAGAGACCATGTCCATTTTGGGCTGATGATGGCCATTGTTCTATCAAAGATTGTCATGTAGAGCCTTGTCCTGAGGTATGGATCAAATAATATAAAATAGAAAAAGGTTATTTGGTTAAAAAGTTTGCTAGTTTGCAGTGACTAATACTATACTAGCAACATGTACTAATCAGAACTTAAATTTAAATAAAAGAGTGACAATAAAATTATTTTCCATTTCAAAAGCAGAATTACAGCCAAAGTATTTTAAGGTCTTAGTCATTTTACCAATAAAACAAATAACTTTAAGAATAAGTCTCTTTTAAGCTCTAGCACTGCTTTCGATATAACGTGTTGAGAAGGTAAAGGAGCAAGTTAATTATTTAAAAACAAGTTTGCTTTGGCCTCTGTAGGAATGATGTTTAATTTGTAGATTTTAATCAAGCATAATTGTTTCTATGAACAGTGTAAAAACTGTGATTTATTTTTTGTTTTTAGAGCAAAATACCTGTTGGAATTAAGGCTGGGAGCTCTAATAAAGTAAGTAGTCATTTATTTTCTAAGTTATTTCTGATTTTTTTTGTTTAAATCTTAACGTTACAGTATCTGAGTGACTTTTCATTACAAACCTTCAGCTTCACATTTTTACTTTTATGTATAATAGTGTTTCTGACATAGCTGGTACTGCCATGTCATTCTGGGTCTGTCATAGCTTGAGAGCTGGTGCAGACTGCATCAATGAATGACCAGGGACAGCAGTAGATGGCCACAGGATGCCGGATGTAAAATTTTTTGTTCATTTCTGAGTACAGGCCAGCTTCCGTAAAGCCATAGGCTAAGATGCACAGATGCAGTAGCAGTGCAGTCTTTTGTAAGAATCATATATAACCACAACCTCTAATATTAAAAGAACCTGAATGATTACATGTAGTTTTGCCATGTCTAATCTTGAGCAGGTCATTAGTTGAAAGATGATTTGGTCGTTAATCTAAAGACAATTGAGGCTAAAGCGGTCAGTGCAAGCTTAAGTAGTCAGTCCATGCTATTGGCTTTTGCTTGCTTCTCTCCAAGCCATCCTTCCTAGATCACCAAGTGATCTTAGCAAAGCCAAAAATATAAAGAGGGTATATACGCCTAGAAAAGATGTCAGAGCAGAAAGATAAACAACGCTCCCTCACCCCCAAATCCCAAGCACAGTGCCCAAGAATAAGGACTTTAGCAGTTGATGGGATAATGGTACCCAAATGAGAGATCTTCCTGTTGAGTGCCTTGGCTGTGTTGTAGACTCATACTTACTCTTGCGTAACTATCGTGTCTCCATCCTCCCCAGTACTTTCCACCTCACTGGGCAACCATAGTTGCTGCTTGCCTCACCTGAGTGTAGTTCACCATATCATAAATGACCATTGGCATTAGGTTTAGACTTTATACCAAGAAAGATTACCAAAGATAGCTGAGAGGAATACTTCATTGTGAATGGATGACTTCTGTGTCCTGCTGTCATGAACAGTGCAGGCAAGTCTGCCCAAGCTTCAGCTCAAGAGGAAGTCTCATCTCCTGTTTATACATACATTGTTAAGCTCACTCTGAAGTAAAGTGTGCCTCTTCATTTAAAGGTTTCTGGTGATCAGAGAAGAAACATCTTTGTTACTGACATGACTTAAATGTCAGTCATTCACCATTTCAGCACAAGCAGCAGTACTTATTCTGGGAAAACTTTGGCACTGTCTCTGTGCAGAAGATCTTGAGTTTTAGCTGGATAATGTGTTGCTAGTTCTCTTTTTCATTGACTCTATTCTCTTCCAAGCTTGACTGTAGAGAAACTGACTCCTGAAATGCCGTAATGCCTCCTAAAGAGACATTTTAAGACTTTAAAGACTGTTTTAGAAAGGATTCTTCTAGTAGGCATTTGAGCTTCCTGATTGATTGATCTCGAGAGCCATAAGTAAGATGTTAATTAGTAGTCAAAGAGTATGCTGTTCTTAAGGTACTTCACATGAGCATATTGAATTGGACTTCGGAAGTGAAAAATCAGCCACTTTTTGCTTTCACTGCAATAAAGAAACTGGGATAGCTTCTTTGGGAAGCTGTCATCTGCTGGTTTATTTGCTACAGTTGTTTCCTTTAAATTGCCTTGTAGGTTGTTGCAACCAGCTATAGTGCTGAAAGTTGGGCAATTCTGCACCTTTAATCTGTAGTGGAACAAAGATACTAATATCTGCTGCTTCTCTGTCAGAAAATGAAGTATTTCTGCAGGAAAAATGTCATTAGGACTGACATAAATCTTACCTACACCATTTTCTTACGTCTTATGATTCAGTTAAAGATCTTTCTTGGAAACAATTAAAAATTAACAATCTCATTTAATAACCCTTTTAAGGAAACATCAAACTCATCTTAGTATGAATGTTTTGTTTCAAGGACTATGCGAGTACTGTGCTATTAGCCTGTGCTTGGTCCATTTGGGAAAGTCCTGCATCTTGTGGATTATCCTTAAAGTATTGGTTTTAAAAAAAAAAAAAAAAAAGGGGGGGTTTCCTCTGGGGATATACATGTCCAGTTTCTCTCTTTCATCCTGATAGTCTCTGCCTTGGAAAGGTGAAAACAACCAAAGGCATCTTTTTAATAATGAGAGCTATAATCTCTTGAGTATATATACTCAGGGTAGAATCCTGTGGAGAAGTTTTCTGTGGTCTAAGTGCTTGGCTTCTGTGCACTTTCCTATTGCCCTTCTCTCCTAATGTAGATGACCTTGTAAACTTCTAGCTTTATTTAGGCTTTCATGGGGGATTTTTTTGTTTGTTTGCTGACCCGTAGAGAGAACAGTTCTTTTGAAAGCTCATCTAGCCACAGGGTTACACTTGCACAGCTTCTCCACAGAAGTGCAGTTAGCAATAGAGGATCTCTTTTTAATTCTTGGCACCAACATAAGCTTTTTGAAATGGTGCTGGAGAGGCACAAAGTAGCTTCCCGAAAGGGAAATATAGAAATATAGTCCTGTTTTCATTTGAGGGGTGAACACATTTCAGGGGGCTAGCCATTAGAGAACTGTCATGACAGATGCTGTATTAATCTTTGAAGCAAGGGACAGGGTGCAGCAACTCAAGGTTACAACATTTAACTTTTCCGTTTTCTTCCAGAAACTGCTCTTAGGAGATCCTGCTTTGGCAGGAACAGATACTTTGTCCTGATCTAGTCAGTGGTCACAGAGCACTGATCTGATAGCAGTTGCTGTTGAACACTGGAGAATAGTGAAGCCCGGAACCATGTTTTGAGACTTGAATGTTCATTCTGTTTGAAACCTTAAATTTAGGATTATATTCTTGGCAGTAATTTTTTTCATTTCAGGGTAAGGATTGGTTTGCAACTCTAGACATGCAGAATGTTTACTTCAGCATCTCAGTATGTTATTTCATCAGCAGTATCTGTTTCGTTCTAGGTCAGGTCCATTCCATGTTCACATTTTTCCATTTAACAACAATATGATGCTAAAGAATGAGCCCCCACACATGGCAAATCCAAGGAAATTGAATGAGAATTTCCTTCTAGAGTAAATATTTGTTATGGGCAAGGCCTCTAACAAGGTTTAAATTATTTGGTGTTTTTAATCTCCTTCACTTCCTTGGTCTTCAGTAGGTTCTGCTGTTTTTTCTTGTATTGGTTCTGGCAAATGCATTTTTAAAGCAAGTCATCTTGCTTACTCATCTGAACAGTTTTAATTAAATCCTTTCTTTTTTGAGAAGTATTGTGATATGTGTCGTGTTGGTACTTTGCCTCTGGCATCTTGACCACAAGGTTGTCCTCAGAAATGAACTATTCGCTTTCTTTTAAAATTTATCAAATTATTATTTTTGTTTGCTATTTCTGAAGGGTTGACCAAAGCCTTTAGCTTATGGTTTTATTTTGAGCTGGTGTTGGATAGTAATCCTTCATGTCAATATGTATGTGCCCTGAAGTGAAGGGAAGCCAGCAGTTCAGCTTTATATAAGCTATCAGTTACTTAACATTAAATCATTTTCTGTATTTCTTAAGGACTGTGATAAGGTAGAAATCTGTGTAAACATCAGGCTCAGACTGCAAAAGAAAACACACACACACACACAAAAAACCCCAACCCGAAAACCCCAAAAAAGAGGAAATTGGGTTTGTTTATCTTTTAAGAGAGCACTGATATTATCTATTCTGTACCAAAACTGTTAGAAGGATTTTTTTAGCTTTAAGCTGACACACAAACAGTGCCCTGCTGACAGAACCATATTATTGTAGAATAGTGGAATTTAATCTTTAATTCTTCAAATGTTTTCCTTAGAAGTATTCTAATAGTAAGTCTGTTTTAGTGGATTACTTTTTAAAAAATACTATAGAATCAGAGTTCAGCTTAAATACTTCAATTCTGGCTTTAAAATAATCAAAATTTGAGGTGCACGTCTAAAACATGCCAATGAATAGGATTAAATGAAACATGAGGGGAAAACGGCCAAAACTGATACATTTTCCTACTGAAATGACCAATGAAACTTGGGGTATGCTTATGCTTGCAAAATACAAGGTATATTTATAGGTATGACACTGCTTGTCTTCCAAGGTCCTTTTACAAGAATGTAAATAAGTATCTGAAATGCTTCAGAACTCCATTTAATTAAAAAAGGGGGGGGGCAAAACAAAATTTTTACATATTTAGCTGAATTTTCTGTGGTAGTTGAATCCCCAGAGCAAAATTGTCCTGACGAAATTAAGTGAAGAAAAACAGAAATAAGAAATGTTTCAGAATTAGTGCTGCTAGAATCTGAGGATTTTCCCTGATAGTAGCCAGTTCACTGCTAAACATGGAAATACCTGTCACAGCACCTGTTCTCAGAGAATTTTAGGTAATTCATTTGTGTATTAAATATGAACTTTCTTACAGTATTCAAAAGCAGCAAATAATTCCAAAGAATTGGAAGACTGTGAGCAAGCTAACAAACTGGGAGCAGTTAACAGTACCTTAAGGTATGCTATGATTTACAACAATAGTACAAAAATAGTAACAAAGGAGCATTTCATTTCGTCTGTCTTGTTTTTGCAATGTGCTGTTTTTTGTTCTTCATACTTTCCGTAGCTCATTAGAAAGTAAATGTGAAATGATGCAAGAACATCTGAAGGTAAAGGTATTAAGTGATAAGTAGACTTTTTTTTTTTTTAAAAAAAAAGTACACTTTGATATTATTTGAAAGAGGTATCTTACAGCATCAAGAGTCAGAGGAAACTTGCAAATAAACCCACCTTTTTCCTACTTTTTACCAGTATCAGTCTTTGTTCTTGATGACTGTGCTGGATTAGGGGATTCTGTCTTGCTCTGTCCCTCTGTTACACTGATGTGCCTGTTTGTGATCATTCAGTGAACCAGATCAGGGAGCTTGTGAGTTACTTTTGTTGTTGGCAAAGTTATTTTTAGCTTGGATCAATTCCCTGATCTTGCTTATTGCATGGCATAGTCAAGGTTGGGTGGGAGGAATTCCGCGGGATGGTGTTGCCCCTGAGTAGGAAAGTTTGTGGAACAGCACTTAGAAAAAACTTGCATTCTACTAGATTCCCCGCCTTTAAAAAGTTGAAATAGAAGAATCAGTTCTTCACTGTTGATGGGGAGGTGTGGTGTCTTCGGCCACAGATTTCAGCAGTTCTACCTGATAGAGATGTTGAAACTCTTTCCTGTCATCTGACAAAATGGGGCTGCCATGAAAAAGCGACTGCTTCTGCCTGGTTTGTGGTGTTTTAAACCGAACTGGGTAGAGCCCTTATCCAAGGTTTTTTAGGGAAAATAAGAAACTATTACCTCTCTTAAGGGCAAAGAATATGAGATTGAGTACACATATGGAGAGCTAAAGAGAATGCCTTTTGTGAGAGTAGGATAGATGATCAAAGTTGGGAGAGGGCAGGTAATGAATCCTGCAAGTGCAGGAAGAGCTTGTGCTTTGTAGGCAAACCTCCACGTTCTCTATCTGGCAGTGCATCATGCTCATGGTTTTGGGTTATTGTCCTTGATCAACTGTATGTCTTGTGATTATCAAATCTTGCCTGCTAGTAATTACTGGAGAAGTTTCTCGCCTAATGCCAAGTATAAATTCTCCTATTGTGATTTGGCAGAAGGTTAGAAATGTGTCTTGTTCTAGAATTGCCTCTGTTTGTAGAATTGAGCTAGGACTAATTCGATCAAAAGGAATAGGTTGTTTTCATTATTTCAAGGTGCTTCACTGCACTCTGGAGCAGAGTTCCCAAGCTTAATTTTGCTTACTTTTTGCTGTCAGTAGTGTGGCATCAGTAGTTCTGTGCCGCACATATGCATAGAGGAAAGCATTTAGCTTTTGGCACTGTTTGTGTTTCATACTGTGGGAACTTCAAAGTACTTGTCTCTCTGGTACAGTACACCTTTGAAAATGCTAGGGTGAGAGGAATACCATTATTATTTAGAAGACTTAAGACAAATCATATTCATAGAGTAATTTAGCTTGGAAGGGGCGTTTAGACATCCAGTCTCCCACTAAAAAGCAAGGCTAACTATTGTAGATCTCATTGAAAGTACAGGTTACGAAACTATGATGATCCTCACCCTCGAAGTGACAGCTGCTAAAGTAGTACTTTGAAAAGCGTTAAAAAATGTATGCCATGACAGTATTTTACCAAGCTCTTACTGAAGAAAGAGAAGTCACTGCTGCTGCACAGTTTGTTCAAATAAGGATGGTGAAATCTTTCTTGCTGTCTAACATTAAGATGACTTTTTAAAGTATCGCAATTGATGCCTGCTTGAATCTCTGTGCAGCTAACAAGTGGTAACTCCATATATTCTCGAGTTTCAGATATAGTAATTCAGAATTCAGTTCCAAGTTAACTACTATATGTGGATTGTGTTTCTTTCGGTAGGTCTTATTGATGTTGTTTATTTAAAAGTTTAAAATCAAATGTATTTTTTTCCCCTCAGTAACCAAAGTAAGGAGGCTTTCATTGACTGGGCAAGATACGATGATTCACAGGATCATTTTTGTGAACTTGATGGTAAAATGTTTAAGCTTTTTCAGAGTGTTTGTTTTATTTTCTGTCTCTTAAAAACACAAAAGATTATAGTTTCTCTGCAAATAACCATTTTTAAAAAGTATTAATTTTGTGCTAAATGGAGATGTGACAGTTCATATCATCTTACATGCAAAGAATGCAATTTTTTACAAGGAGCGTTTGGTAGTCTACACAGTGCACATTCACTGTTACCTCCTGTTAGTATAGTGAACAGGAGACTTTTATGGAAATAAAAAGGTAAATGGGGAGGGGGTTAGCATATATTTTTTTAAAAAGCTTCTCACAAATGAGTTGCATCTAGCACAAATATAAGACAAATTCTTGCAGCTGATTCAGTTTTCTACTACGTTATTTTTGTTGCTATTCTACTGTCTATGCTTGGACTGAGTTTGTTCCTCTTCCAGCCTTGCTATGTTTCCAAATGATCTCTGCACTAAATTCACCCTTATTTGTAAGGACTTTCTTATTGTTAAAACACTAGGATACTAGATTGTGTCTTCCCTCTGCTCCACATATGTGAGTCTTTTTGCTTGTAACGTTCAAAGCTCAAAGGAATGTTTTTCAGATAAACACGAGAACTGCCAAATTCAGGAATGACTGCTAAAGGCCTTTTTAATAAATACCTTAGAAAGCTTTCTATGCTAGGAAGTCTTAGGGCATAATGCAAGGTGTTTTAATCTACCTTTAGGCTAATGTTTGGTGTCACCTGAGAAAGCAGCAGCTGTAGTGGACTTACCAGCTGTGGTTCTCTTTCAGCACTTCTGCTGCATCTTATCTGTGAAAATTTTCTATACAAGCTGTTTCTCTAATAAATAGTCAGTGAGCATTACTGTAGATCTGAACTGTTATATGCAATAAGCTGCTGTTGTCTCTCCTATCTTCAAGCTGCCTACGTTAAGAGGACTCAGTTGGGAAAGGTATAGTTTAGGAGCATTTCTTTTAGAAGTAACTACTTAAGTAGTTCCTGATTCTACCTCCATCTCTCCTTACATCGTGCCCTGCTGAAGGAGGATGTACTGCCCTCAGCTGTGTTCTTCCAGTGCTTTTTTTGCACTGGCTCTGGTGTGCATCTTTCTGCATGGTAAGCTGTTTCAGCTTACTTGAATAGCAGGAAAGTAAGTGAACATCGCCCTCCCATCTCCCAAATTGTTGTGATGAACTGGCTTATCAGGTGAGTTTGTGAGCTGGAACAGGGAGAGGTGAGAGAGAATAACTACTAGGAGTGACTGGGAGGAGGTAGAAAATCTTGTTTTCTTCCTCTCCTCTCTTCCTGGTGGTGAGAGAGCTCTTAATTCACTCAACTGTAGCACAAACCCATATCATCAGTTTTACTTTTTACTAGCTTTTTGTTCGGCTTAATGATAAACTAGATAAGGGAATTGATCTAGCTGAAAAAAACTTCATAACCCAGGTCAGCTTTCCATCTTTCTGTTGCACTGCCCCACAGACTCAGGTGTATGTGGATAACAAGAAGAAAAAGTGGAGACCTGAAGTGACCAGGAAGTGTAGGAACTGCTTAGGTTAGCCATGCTGTCAAAGAAATAAATAAAGCTCTAATTCGACTTTGTCTCATCTGGCACTCACTGTGTTGTTGTGTGTCTTGTGTCTGTCTCTTTTCTTTGTTTTTGCTGCTACTACTGAAGTGATGCTTAGCTGCTCATGCAGAATCATCTCTTCTTTTTAGAGCAGTTTTCAGTCTCTGTTTCTGTGGCTTTTTTCAACACCTGAGGAAATACTCAGTGGCACTGCTTGGCCTATTCCTATGAATAGGTCTCTGGACTACTGTCTTGTATTGTATGCGGGGTTTTTTTAAGTATGAGTTGCTCTTGACCTAGAATTTCAAAGAGGAGGGAATTCCTCCTGCTTTTTACTGGTTGTAGCTTGAAACTTAAGTTTCTATTCATATGGGGTTTTTAAGCAGAGAGAGTACTGTTTGACAATTGTTGGATACATTGCCTGAATTTGTAGTGAACTTGAGAGATGAGGGTATAACTTGTTGAAATGCTGCTTAAATAACATGTTTCTTGCCATAACCAACAGAGCGTTCTGCAATATGCTGAAAGTTTGTTCAATTAAGCAATGTGATCCAGACTTTCTGCCAGCGTACAAGGGTATCTGGGAAAAAGGGGATTTAGCTAATAAATATACACTATGTACCAACTACAAGATGCATTTCTTTGACCTTGTCTTTATTAAGAAGCCCCTGTAGCAGTATACCCGTTTCAAAAAAGCAAACCCCCCAACGTAATACTGCCAGACAAATAAACCCTGAATTTGAAGCCATTTAAAACAAAACACTGTTTATGTCTTAGCATAGGGTGAGAGAACACATTACATGACAAGCGTTTATGGTGGAGTTGAAGAAGTCACATAGAAGGTGTTCAGACGTTGTAGAAATTATGGCCACACACGAGACTTTGGAATAAATTGTATACTTTTGAGCTTCCTATTTAGTGTGTATATTGCTGTATTTTTATGTACAAGGCATTTATAATACAACTGGAAGACAAAATAGTACTATATGAGACTTCTTATTTGTATTTAATTCTGTGTGACTTTTTAAAAATTAAATCTTTTTTAACTGATCAGTTAGAATATGTAACAAAAGGTTTCCTATTTAGATGAGAGATCTCCAGATGCACAGTACGTGGATTTGCTGCTGAATCCAGAACGTTACACTGGATACAAGGGGCCTTCTGCTTGGAGAGTGTGGAACAGCATCTATGAAGAAAACTGCTTCAAGTAATTGGGAGGGAGAGGAAGACTATTTCTTATACTTGCACTTCAGTTTAGCTTAAAACTGATTTTTGTGTTTTCTAACTTACTTTCTAGGCCTCGATCTGTCTATCGTCCTTTAAATCCACTGGCGCCTAGTAGGGGTGGGTCTTCCCTGTTTTATTTTCTAATGCAGTTCTTTTAACATAGTCACTATTGCAGCACAAGTGATACAAATAGTAATCTTCAGTCTGTAGGTGTGCTTTCTGCTTTTTTAATTTCCTCTGTAGAAGTAGCTGTCCATTTTCAATATTTAGACTAAGGTTTGTGATACTTGGTTACATATGTGCTTAATCTTATGCATATGAATAGGCTTATTAATGTCAGGGAAGCCAACGTGAAAACTAAAGTAAGTCTCAAACTGTTCAGTAAGTGTCACAGTAACTTTCCCATGTGGATGGGGAGGAGTTAAAGTTCAACAAAAATTTCAGCACGCTTGTATTCTTCCCTTGTTTGTGTTTTGTTTTGTTTTTTTCCTTAGAGCATTTAATTTAATCACTTTAGCTCATAGTCATCCTAGTGTAATGTAGCTGTACATTTTCCATCCATAATGTTTAGTGTATTACAAATGTACAGATAATTGCATTATTTGAAGAAAAAATTGCATTATTTGAAGAAAAACTGCGTACTTAGGAAGGCTCAGTTATCTGCAAGAATGTTAAAAAAAGTATGCCAATGACTTGTGTTCTAAGTTTTCAAATTTAAATTGAAAACTATAACCCAGTGTTCCAAATGAATCAGCTTTCCCCTGTCAGTGTGTCTCATTTCCCTTAAAAATTAACTATTAGCCAATAGATTGAGTTAGGAAACACCACAACACATTAGAAAATCAAGATAGCTTTTAATAATTATAAATATTGAGATTGTATTACAAATGTACAGATAATTGCATTATTTGAAGAAAAAATTGCATTATTTGAAGAAAAACTGCGTACTTAGGAAGGCTCAGTTATCTGCAAGAATGTTAAAAAAGTATGCCAATGACTTGTGTTCTAAGTTTTCAAATTTAAATTGAAAACTATAACCCAGTGTTCCAAATGAATCAGCTTTCCCCTGTCAGTGTGTCTCATTTCCCTTAAAAATTAACTATTAGCCAATAGATTGAGTTAGGAAACACCACAACACATTAGAAAATCAAGATAGCTTTTAATAATTATAAATATTGAGATAATATATTGTTAATATACACAAATAAAAAGAATTGTAAGAGCAGTTTAACTCAGGGATCAAAATTTCAGAAAGGAACACTGGTCAGATTGTTGAATAATGTGGACTGAAGAAGATGACTTCCTAACCATCTTTCTGAAGCTAAAACATAGCTTTCAAGAATATGTAAATCAGCTGCTACTAAGATTTCAAATTCTTAGTGACTTTCATTATTATGTGTTTAGTCTCAGGTGGTCTTGAGGAGGAGGAAGAGGATGGAAAGTAGCCTATTTTTTTGTAGATTAAATAAGGTTTCTTGCACTTTTTCAGTGTTTGTAGTAAAGCCTGTGTTTCGTTACTACTTTGCTGTGGAAATTATCTTTTTAATGCTTATGGATTTTTTTATTTTGTTTTGTTTTGTTTTTTTCCCCCCTAAGGAGGAGATGATGGTAAGTCATCTTATTTTGCTTGACTTGCAGAAATGAAGTAAGCATTAAAGAGTTTTGCACATCTGATTTATTCATTTTATTGCTATTGCATTAGAGGGCAGGAAAGTTATGTTTTTGTGCAGATGACTGATCAGAAAATGTTTTTGTTGGGATAATTGTTTCATTTGGAGTAGGGGGAAGGAGTGGGTAAGAGCAAAATACAGTTCTTTTGTTGGTTCTTATCCTTGTAACAGAATATGTGTTGTGATAATGTCATTAACGAGATAACTGGAGATGCATAAATTAAAGGATTCTTGGATCTTCTCCAGAGCCCCATTGATACTGATGTCAGATCCCTTAAAAGAAGAGGGGCAGTTTTTTGTGTACTTTCTTGAATGTCCTTGATTTTGGGAAGGTGGGGAGAGAGTGGGGAGAAAAAGCATTTGGTCTGTCTACACCGAGACAGACTTTAAGATTTTTCAGTCAACTGAAAGCTCTCAGGCAAAGGATCTAAGCCTACAGGAAACCTTCAGACAGTTAGCAGTCGAGGTAAAGGCTATCAGATTACACTCTTCCGTCATGTCTTTCACCACTAGTGCACATAATGAGACTTGCGCTTCCATACACTTCTGAATGCCCTGACCAGTAGCTTAGTCGTGCTCATTCTTCTATTTCTCCTATTCTGACCCCAACAGATTTAAACTAACCTCAAAGTTCAACCACTTCAGTGCCTCGCTTCAGTGTTCTCACTTTAATAGCTTTACGTCCAGATGGCAGCTAACGTTAGTATGCATAGTAATATAAAGATGCTGTAATGTTAAAAATGAATACCCTTCACTTAACTATATACTTTGTATTTACAGGAGAATCTTTCTACACATGGCTAGAAGGTAAAGGCTCTTGGATGGGTTAATATAATGTTAAATTCACTAGAAGAAACACTGTAGTATTTTTTTTCATCTCCCCAAATATTTTTCATAGTGTAGGCTTTTTAATAAATTGTGCAGAACTTGAGTGTCATTCAAAGAATTTTTTTTTTCTTGAGGGTCTTTGAAAATCTTCTCATTCACTTAGATGGTGTACTCCTTAAACCCTTCAGTGTTTCATCTTTTAGAAAGGGGGAGTTCACTTCAATACCAGTTACTTTGAATCTTCTGCTCATTGTAGGCATTTAGGCAGGGACATTATTATTAGTAACACTGCTAAGTGTTTTTATTTGAAAACAGCTTTAAAAAAACATTAAAGTTTTTGATGGTTCTGTTCCCAGTATATAAACTAACATAAGGATAATGTGTGTTCAGAAGGCAAAGCAATTTGCTTTTCATTCATATTTAAATGGAAATTATCATCACAGCGGTAGCAATCAAAATCGCATTTTGGAGGTGTGCAGAAAAGTAAATGAGTTAAATGTACTTAATTTTAAACTTAGTTCATTCTGCCTTTCATAAGCCTTTGCTTGTCTAGTTGGAAATCTCTGGTGCTATTGTAGGAGAGCATACAAATTTATATGCTTTTTAAAATGTGATGTCTGTAAACGAGGCCGTGTCTCAGCCTCACAGATAGGCTTCACCATCGGCTCTTCCTGCTGCCGCTTGTGGAGATTGGAGTGGCAGGGAAGTCACCCAAACGTATCTTTGAGAAAGGAACAAACTCCTGAATTCCAAGTGTAGTCTCTATCTCTCGGTCTAAGTTGTATTATAAGTAATTTTTGCATTTAAATTATATTTTGGCCACCCAATGCCTTTACGTTTGTTTACGCTGTAGAAGTCTGTATCTATCAAAGTAGTATTTTTCAAGGTTTTGTTCTGTGCATTTAAATCTTCAGTGAATTTACAGTAGAGCTGGGAAGAAATATTTTTGCTGTTTTCCAATGCCATAAGGTTTTCTGGGATTTTTAATGTTTTTCTGTAAGGTCACCACTCTAATTCAGTGGTAGCTTTAATTCTAGTTAGGATGGGTCACAGTATAGTTCTGGTTTCCAGACTGTCAAAATTCAAGGCTATTTCAAATTTATTGCTCAAACAAAGTAAGCATCTTATTTTTGTGTGGCAATTTATCTGTACTAATTGACCAGATACTTATTTGACTGTATTTATTAGAACGCTAAAATACCAAGTAAGAAATGTCAAACGTCATTCTTAGTACTTCTTTATATAAAACATAAGAGGTAAACTTTTCCTATGATGGATATAAGGGCTTATTAACAACGCTGAAGTACTGTAATTGTAACTCTTGAAAGTTCAGTGATGCAAGTCTGCATCGTTTAAATGTCAAGGTATATTCATTTTAATACATTATTTCTAGTATCTAGTTTGGGATCTGTTTGTCTTTTTTCCTGGACAGGTCTTTGCCTTGAGAAAAGAGTGTTTTATAAGCTCATTTCTGGACTTCATGCTAGCATCAACTTGCATCTGTGTGCAAATTATCTTCTTGAAGGTAATTTAAGTAAAATTGCTGAATGGAATTCTACAATATCTGTAACATGTATTTGTTTTTTCTGAAAATTTTTGATGTATACTAGTTGCTTTCTTTTTCTAAATGTGTGTGTTTTACTCCCCCTGCCCTTTTCTTTTTTTCTCTGTGTAGAAACCTGGGGGAAGCCTCGCTGGGGACCGAATGTGAAAGAGTTCACTCGCCGCTTTGACCCTGTTGAAACAAAAGGAGAAGGACCAAGGAGGCTCAAAAATTTGTATTTCTTATATTTGATAGAGCTGCGTGCTTTGTCAAAGGTTGCCCCGTACTTTGAGCGTTCAGTTGTTGACCTTTACACTGGAAATGGCCATGAGGATGCTGAATCTAAAGCTCTCTTACTAGATATCTTCAGGGATACAAAGTAAGGCATAGGATTTTTTTTATCAATAGTTTGAAATTCTCAGTTATATTCACAAGTGAGAACAGATGACTTCTTGATAGGATAGGACAAGGAGGAGAGTGGAATGAAGAAATAAAATTAAGTAATGTGAGAGAACAAGAGGAGTTTGTACATTTGACAGGAAGAGATTAATATTTTTGAGGTTTGAATATACCAATCTTTAAAAACCAAAAAACCACAAACAAAGAAAAAACCCCACACAACACCCTGGGCTACTCCCTGTTTGTTGCTTTTTCTGATTCTTCAGTGTAAGATGCACATTATTTATTTTGAAAAGGAAAATAGTACATGTAGTCACTTAATGGTTCAGTGAGTAATCCAGCTTTTATCATAGACTTAACTTCTGGGGTTTTAGCCATCCCTTCTTCCTTCTGTTTACTCTGTGAGGTTCTTTAGTCCAGTTCCTTTGCTCACCTTCTCGCTAATTTTTGTGATCGGTAATGTGCTGTGTGGCTTCATTGCTGTCCCTAATCATAAGCTTGCTGGGTATTTGAGATGTGGTTAGACAACTGTCAACTGAAAGGCAAACGTTAAGACAATTTCAGTGTATATTAGAAAGAAATCTTGATCAATGGAAATGGAGTGAAGAAAATTCTCCACAAAACTGTAAATAACAGATTTCAAGTTACAGTGATTGAATAGTAAAACTGATACCATTCAGTAAATTTTTTAAGAGCTATTCTGCAAAGACTAGAAACTCTGAAAAGTGTTTTACACTGATGGCATCAGCTGCTCACCCAGCTTGATGGAACGCTGTAGTGTATGCCAGCGTTTTTGAGTTTGTGTTTTGGTTTTTTTTTTTTCTGTTTTCATTTTGTCTTTATTAGGTCCTTCCATATGCACTTTGATGAAAAGTCCATGTTCGCCGGAGATAAAAAAGGAGCCAAGTCATTAAAGGTAAAGCTACTTTTCTGAATGACATCCAAAATATCCATTTTGGAATTCAGTTGCATTATTTTAGAAAACCTCTCTGCCTACCGGAAGCATACTGCTAAGAGTAGAAAAGCTTAAAAAACAGATGCCTTATATAGTAGAATTTGATATAGTATAATACAACGTAATATAATATTATACTTAATCTTAGAAAAGCATAGTTCCTAGACATGGGAACCTAACAAGAATGCTGTTACTACCTAACAACTTCCAGTGTTGACATGCTGGTGTTCGGATTGGTATGCACTACAATTCCACAGTTGGAGTGTGGCTCAGTGATAAAGGTCTGTTTTAATACTTATTAACACTTTTAATACTTCTTTCAGTAGTAGTATGGAATTTCATCAGCATTAGAAAGAGTGCCAGTAGTTTATCAGCCCAGCTAGTGTTTTTCTGACCTTAAATATTTAATTGAGATCATCTTAATTAGTTCTGTGCTGTGCTTGCTCTCACTCTGACTGAAGCTGCAAAGCAACAATCTACCCATAGCTTTGTACAGGAAATGTCTTTTGTGAATTGTAACTTGCTTGCCTGTTTGTTGAAAAGGTACGTTGGTTCAAAAGGGATTTAAATAATGGAAGAAAAATTGGGCAGGGACACCGAAAATTTTGAGGAAGTTGGTAGAAAGTCAGTGTACAGAATCCAAGCATTACCCTGCATGTCCTGTATTGGGGGGGGGGGGGGGCGGGTTTCGAGGAATTGACTGTTAGCAGTGGCTTGGAAACAAGATTCTGGGCTTACATGGACCTTTGTTATGGCTTTTCTGCATAAGGTAGTGGTTTTGTTCTGTTTTAGTAATAGAGAATTGATATTCTAGTGATACTAGATTAGTTAACCTTCTGTTTTTCTAAAGCTAAGGGGTGCTTTAACTTAACCTTTTTTATTTTGTTTTTAACTGATAGGAAGAATTCAGGTTGCATTTCAAGAACATATCCCGCATAATGGATTGTGTTGGATGTGACAAATGCAGGCTGTGGGGCAAACTGCAGGTACAGTTTTTTATGTGTGTGCGTGGCGGAGGGGGAGGTTAGAAGATAAGCATCTATTTCAGTTTGGCAGGATGCCTCTTACCTTAGCATTCAGACTTCCTGCACGTGTTTGGTCTTTGATATCCTTACCTATGTATTAATGTTTTATTTTGTTTAGTCAATAGCTGTTTAGTTCACTAAAAGGTATAGTTTGTATTCTCCAAAAAAAATGTATTTAAAGCAGATGCTTTGTGGCAAAGTCTTACTGGCAGTCAATATCTTATCTGTATTCACTGATCAGATGAGCCTTGTAGAATCATCTGTGGGAAGCCTTCCTGGAAATACAGCATTTGCTTAATTGTTAGAAAATCCAGCATGAGATTTAACTCTACAAATCGAGGCATAAGAAAACAGTAATTCGGATTTTCACAGTTTATGCAGAAGGCAGCAAATGAATGCAAAGGTGCACAGTAAAGCTGGAAGTTGAAAAACAGTTTCCTTTTCTGGACAATTACTATTTTTATTTTATTGAGAACAAGATTGTAAACCTCAAGACTAATGTTAAGTCCAGACTGAGAATAGTTGTTACTTTGGGCTGCCTACTGTACTATACTGCTGTATAGCATTAAGCTTATTAGAGTTCATTTTTCAAAGAAATTTATAACATCAAAAATTTTGAGGTCCCTGCTGGATTTCCAGAGTTCTGCCTACCCTGTCCTAGTTAATGCTTCTGATCTATTATTGTTTTTTCCTTCTCACACAAAATGAAATAGGGCCAGATTTCCTGACCTATAAAATTATCTTGCAGCCAGCCTCAACCACTTTCTGTCAAAATCCAGTGGTTGTTTCTGTAGCCTGATTAAAAGGGGAAATAAGAATAGCTTCTTCTGTTCTATTTCTGTGTACAAAATAGGGAATGAAACTGAAACCGCAATGTCTGCCACTGGGACTCGAGGTGGAAAAAGGAGAAGTGTTGTGATATCTCGTAATAAAACCTAGTTTGACTTTGAAGGGGGAGGGGCGAGGAAAAGGGGAGATCAGATCCAATAGCTGCTGCAGCAGTGGGGCATCTGAAGGTAAGGGGCAGGAGGGAGCTGAAAGTGTGGTGGCAGGCATATTTTCATATGCACCTGCTGTGGTTGAGAAGAAAAGAGATGGAAAGGAAGAGATTGAAAACAGGAGGATGAAAAGCAAGTATTGCTGAGGAAACAAATGTTCTTAAATAAGCGACTGAACCCGGTACACAATTGATGGCATGCGTTTGCATTAGTGTCCTGGTTTGTGTGCAGTTATTTGGGTTGAGGGAGTGTCAATGTATAAGAATTGCTACTACAGTTTGCCTGGATTAGTAATTTTTTAACTTTCTTACTGTTTTCTGAGCGTTCAAAGGAGTGATCTTATTGATGTTAAAACATTGGACTTGTTTTATAGACTCAAGGCTTAGGAACTGCTCTGAAGATCTTGTTTTCTGAGAAAGAAATACAGAGCCTTCCTGAGAATAGCCCATCAAAAGGTTTTCAACTCACACGTCAAGAAATAGTTGCTCTTGTAAATGCCTTTGGAAGGTAAGTTTTTATCATTTGTATAGTAAAAAAACCCATAAAACTTCAGTGTCAACACTCGAGCTCTGTGGAAAGATGGTATTGTACATGTAGCTGTAGCTTTCTAAAGGCTAAATTACTATTAGTGATATTGATAAACTTAATGCCATCGAACTGAGTATGTGGAGTGTTGATTATTAGCCTTGGTCATCATTCTGTGTTTGGATCTAATTCATCTCTTCATCTCAAATCTCATAAATTCCATCTTGTGAAAGCTGGATTTAAGTCTTTTATACAGTCGTAAGCATTAGACTTTGAGTAGATCTCCTCCTTTTTGAACACTGACGACAGCTGTTCTACATTTTGCATTTCTGTTTTAAATGTGTGTATGTAAAAAGTAGTGAAAAGGAAGAAAAATACTTGGACTTTTTTTTTAGCGCTAACATGACAGCCCTTAGGCTTTTGGATTTTTGTGTGTGATGTGATTATTTTTGTTAAAACTTTAGTTTTGATTAATTTTTTGAAAATTTGCCCCTTTCAAATGAGGAAATAAAACATTTTAACAGCTTTAAAAGATGTGTAGAACTTGCTTTGTTCATCATGCTAGTTCTTCAGATCTTGAATATAACAATCTGTTCCTGTTATTACATTCTTTTAAACATTATTACCTCTGGTTAGAGGTTTTTTTTAGATGTTTAATGAAGGTGGGACAATTAAACATATACATATAAACTTTAATCCCTGTAATATATAATATAAATGTAATGGAGAATCAGATAGTAGATCTTTTGAGAGAAAGTAGTATCTTAAGCGTGTTCATCTTTGGAAAGGAGTTGTGTTTAAAAAAAACCAAAACAACAACAAAACAAACCAAAAAAACCAACCAAACAAAAAGCCCCCATGGAAGATGATGATTTGCACTTCTCTTTTGCAGTTGACTTACTAACACTTAAGGGTTTTTTGTTTTACAGGCTTTCCACAAGTATAAGAGAGTTGCAGAATTTTAAAGTTTTATTACAACAAACCAGGTAATGAAGGCTTTTGCACAACCCATTAGCGAAGACCATTTACATGACTGCATTGAGCAGAAGGAACTGATCCTTACAGGACTCACATGAACTGATAAAAAGTAAAATCAAATACCAACTTGAATATTTATGTTTAAACTAGGAATGGTTCTTAATTAGAAAAGATATTTATGATGAAATATATAGTTTTTAAATGTGTAAATTATGCTGATCTGTTTATTTTTTAAGTTCTCTGCTCACAGTTCTGTTGTTCTGAAACTTCATAAATTTTCTTTATTTCCCTGTCTTTCTGAGACAGTTGTTTTATATGAAAACATAAATATCTCCACCCTCACTTGGCCTGTCCTGAGAGAGGTGGTTCACCTCTCGCCTCTCCCCAGTACTGAGCTTCAGTATATTCTGAGGATTGGGTATGCAAATTCTGGCTGTCTAAAAGAAGGAAGGGTAAAAAAAAAAGAAAAAAAAAAAAAAAAAAGGAAATAGGGCTCTTGTTGAGTTCTGACTTCTTACTGTAATAATGCAACTTACTTAAAAATAGGAAATTTACTGATCAGAAAATTTTATTTCATACCAAGCTCCTTTGCATCATGGCGATATCAACATTTTTTCCTTATGTGCTGCTTTTCAGAATTTCCTTTTTTTCTCTAAAATAACTACCTTGCTCTGATGCAGCACAGTTGGAAGTGACTTTTCTGCAGCCCCTTGGCTACCTGCATTTGCTTGAGGGTGGGGGCCAGGGCAGGGGGAGATGGTTAGTAGAGTGCTGCTAGCTGAAAAGCCTCAGTCAATCAAATCCACATCTACCCCATTTTATTTTCTAGATTGTAATCACAAGTTCAGTTTCCAGAAATTGTCTTTTTAATGTCTAATATGTTAAAATAGCTCACTTCAGTCTTTGAGCCGTGGAAGCAGATTTGCTCTTTATGGGTTATGTTTTAGTGCTATGTTAAAAGGTCAGTGCAAAAAGTAAGAACTTGTTTTTGTAGTCACTTTTAAAAAAAGACGCTTTTTAAAATTCATAATCACACTGACATTTAATACCACATACTCTATCTATGCAATCCCTAACTGTATCTTCTTTAAAAGGATATTCAGCGTAAAAAAAAAACGGGTATGTTAATAACAAAACTTCATAAAATAAGAAATTACTCATGTATCATTGTCCACAAATGTCAATGATAACTTACCATTGTCCAAAACAGAATTCAGAAACAGCACTACTGATTGGTAGCAACCAAATATTGGTTTAAATTTAAAATGAAGTAATAATTTTTTTTAAACCAGCATGTTTCAAAGTGAAGTTAGGAGTTATGAATGTAGGAAGTGCTGGTACAGTGTAGATATATCTCTTGTTTTTAAAAATAAGTCTTCACAAAATAAAGTGCTCTTAAACATTTTTCACCCTACCAGATATTTAGTGACCTGTTTATATAATTGATTGTAACTGTATTGGCTTCCACAATATGGTCCTTTACAGCTGAGATTTTTGGAAAGCTGGAATACGCTCTATGTCCTTTGTTTCTAGACTAGCCTCAAATTTCTACCTGACTGGAAATGAGACAGACTATCCTGCTGACACTTGCTAGTATAAAAAAATACTGTTTCTCAAGAAAGTCAACTCTCTTGAGTCAAACAGGGATAAGCTAAACGAAAGGGAAAAAAAACCCAAACAGCAACAAAAAACCCCAACCAAACCACCCCCACAAAGCTTTGGTGGTAGTTGCACAAATTGGCAATGAACTGGTATCCAGTCGGAAGTTCCTGTTTAAGGCAGTAGGTAATTTAACGTGGTGTTAGAGAAAGCTGATGCCGGTCTGGAGATGCTGCGTTCTTACCCAGCGGCCTCTCTTGCCTGTGGGCACCCGTGTCTGAGCAAGTCACCACAGCCTTCTTTTTTTCTAGTTAATGGAAAAGGGCAGATGATTTCTAGGTGGATTCGTCTGGCCTATTCCAAGCTCTGTGTGACAGGCTCTAGGATGCAGTGATTTGCACCCTAGAGTTCATTTTTCTCCATTAACTTGAAGGTGGGAATCTAGGTAACTAGCTCAGATGTGAACAGCTGTGTTTGGTAAATGAGTTACACCCGGAGTATCTAACTCTTCTGAGTAATTGTATATATTGGAAGTGTGTGTTTTTCAGTTGGCCGTTAATTCCTTGCCTTTTGGATTGACCTGCAAGGGCTAGAACTTGTAGGCTCGCTTGCGTGAAGAATGCTGTACAGCTGGGATTTATCTGTATTATTCTATATTATAGTGCCTAAAGCTTTAGGCAGGATTTTCTAGCTGAAAATAAATTGTGGTGTCTGTGCTGCCCCAGGAAGGATCAGAGTCTCAGAATTGTTTCTTCCCTTTTTCCTCTTGCTTTATGGGGAAAGTGAATTGCTTCCAACCTTCTTCTGGGGATGCAACTTGCTATTTTTCTCTTTTCCGCCTGTGCCTGGCTAAAATCTACGGACACTGAAGCAGCATCACATACTGGCATCACGCACTTGCTCGTGGGACAGGTGAGAGGTTCAGGCGCGCAGATCTTGGACACCTGCTCCTTGCAACCCTCATTGGCACGATGCAGGCAAGGTTAATACCGTTGGGTAAGGACATAAAGAGATGGGAAGCTTTTCTTCTTTTCCTTTGTGTCATGAAAACACAGGAATGCAAATGAACAGCAAATTCTGTGTACGGGGAAGTTCTGTTGCATTTGAAGGTGCATCTCGCTTGGTGATCAACTATGGAAGGCATCTCACTTCACTGTCATTGTAGAAATGGGACACAAGATTTCTCCTGTTACAAATCTAGTTGAAACAATGTTCCTGTCACCATCTTTTTTACTGTATTTGATGTACATTCTGTGACTATGCTGCCTATGAAGTTTTACCATGTGAGACGACTTGGTTCTTTATATGTTAAATTAAATTTTAGAGATTTACAGATCCATTTTTATACTAAAGAATAAGGTCAGTGACACTGTCCGTGACCTGTGAACTATTTTAAATTCCAGCTCCCTGTTGGAGATCAGCTTGTCAACATTGTCTGCCATTCATTTCAGAGTAAAAGTACATTTCCGTGTACAAATGACACAATGATTGTAATCCCAGAGGTAGTGAGAAGACAAAGACAAGAATGTTTCCTTTTTCCCAAGTCATGAAGACGTACGTGAAATGGTAAAAAAGACTTGGTGCAAACTGGATAGGTAAAATGGGGGGCACTGTTGCTGAACAACTTGCTCTTCAGTCCCTGAGGAGGAAGGTGAGAATACAGATTTAAAACAGTGAAATGTAGAGACTTGCGTAAGCTGGAATAACAAAAGTGTTGTTTTCCTACTTCAGCTGGTGATTTGTGCTGCATGTCACTGTATGTGCATGAAATACACCGTGCCACACTTTGAGTTGTGTTTTGATGGTTGGGTTGCCTTTATCTGACCTTGCTTTGTGCTCTTCTGGGAAATGACCTGTAATATGTTGTAAATAATCTAGATGCTTACGTTTATAAAGTAGCAATCAGCAAGTCATCACTTTACAATTCCTCCATGTAGCTAGCCTATTAAAATGTAATATTTATTAAAATCAAAGTCGGCGTTGGAACTGCTTACTGAGGTCTAAACACTTCTGAATCTTTGCCATGTTTGAATCTATAAAATGCGAATTAAAGTATTTTCTGCTACAACGTCTTTTTGTGAATGTAATTTTTGGGTTTTCGTTTGAAACTTTTTTTACTTTTCCTTTACCTTCAACTACCCTTGGTAGAAATTACATAACTTAACTTATTCGCAAGTCAGTCATTTAAGCTCAAGATGATGAGCAGGCTTTCCTTCTCACTTTAATTGCATTCAAAAGATGAATGTAACCGGTGTACCTGTTGCCGTTCACAGGCCGTTGTAGTGTGTCAGCACAGCAGAAATTCATGCGGCAGAATTACAGTATGTTTCTGCATAAATATGGCCAAGTTTAGCCACTGCTTAAGTCCAGTTGTTTTGGACAGAAAGGCTTATTTTGAAATGAAGTTTGTTGCGCTGTGTCCCTTTCTCAGAATAGCTTATAAAATCGATTTTGTAAATCTCTTTTTTTTTCTGGTCGGATGACCCAGTGGGGCTCTTCATGTGAAATTATTCCCCCTAAAGGGTTTCTGCAGCTTTCCGTTTCATTCCATGTATGTATTTTTAACGAATTCTCTTACTAAAAATTTGATACACCAATTTCATCCTCTGTTTAGGTGGGTAAGTACCTGTTACACAGGTGGTTATAATTATAGTGACTTAATTTAAATTTAAGATCTTGCCTTTCATGTTGTTGTTTAAATCTCCTGTGTTTGAGAGTATTTAATTCATTCCTATGATTGGTTATAGTCACTTGTAATTCCACTTTTTTGCATGCATAACGTGGCACAGGGATTAAGCTTGTTTTAAACGCAGAATCCTCATAATTAAAGTTTTGCTGTGCAGCTATACTATAAAGAAAATGTAATTCCTGCAGACTTTTCTTGCGCTGGGTCTTCAGGCAGTTTTGTACAAACGTGATTGTAGAACTCCGAAGGGTTTAATAAAATTTCTGTTCTTCTCCCAACCCTGTGGCACCTTTTTTTAATCTCTGGCTGATAGTTTAATTGGCTTTTTTCTTCAGTGAACATTGGAAGAAGCAAAGAAACTAACGGAAGCTCTGGAGGGCAAACAATTGGCAGGGTGCTTCTGCCAGGGGCGAGGCTCGTGCTTTCATTTTTACCGCAAAGGCCCCAAAAATCAAAGACCCTGTGGAAGACTTGGCGTATGAGTGTGGCACTACTATACTACGCTTTCGGCTTCCAAGCAGACCTGATCAGACCTGCTCCCCATCCCTTCTTTTTTTCCGGTGCATCCTCTGGGAAATGTAAACAAGAATACTTCTTGTACTTCCTGAAACTGAATATGAGGAAAACATCAAGCCTGCCCACCATTTGGGGATGCTGTAGTATACCTCAAAATGAACTACTTTTATAGGAGTAAAGATTACTCTGAGAAATAGGTTTTTCTCTTAGGGAAATGTGGCTTAAATTGCAGTATTTGTTTCACGTGGGGAAGGAGAAGGAGATGGAGACGCTGGGGGTGCAGAGTTCTTCACAGCAGAGCGCACCAGTCAGTACTGGGCACAGTAAAAAGACCTGAAGTAGAGTTAGGGTTCCGTGTAAATGGCACATACTAGAACGACATTTATTCACCGCAAACCACCAGATTTATCCCTGACCATACAAGGCACGGCTTTTGCTGACCTTCTGCTAGTTACGCAGAATCTGTCCTCTAGGTCCGCTTGAGGTTTTTGTGCTTTATGTATTTCTGGCTCTTGTTCTGTCCCCAGACTGCACTTCCTAGGTTTTCATTAACTAACTAAGTACTGTTAGACGTATCCATCTCCCTGGCTAGGTATTTGACTTACTCTTCTGTGTAATACACGTAAAACTGATTGACAAAGAT